AGACGATGCCTTAGACGAGTTGTTGTTCGAGAGTTCTGTTGACCCCACACCAGGCAACCGTGTCCAATACACCGACGGAGTCTCTCACTCGGAATCGTTCGCACCTCTTGTTCTTGATGCTGGGTCATGTTAGGGGGGGGGAGGGTGAGTTTGGTACGACGCCAGTTCCTTCTTCACCAGTTATAGTAGAGGAGAGCGTCAGCAATCGTTGGAAAACAGAACAGTTAGGAAGGCTGGGTGGCGCCGCCAAACCCAGCCTTCCTAACTGCCCCAATATCCGCAGCAACAAAACTGTAATTGGTTTTACGCGAAAGTTCTACATGAAGTCGAACTAACGGAAGTGCTGTTCCGTCCGTATCTTCACTTGAAACATCGGAACAGCTTATAGGTATTGCTTTAGCCGTAACCAAGATGGATATAAACAGTTTTATTGGCTAACGTTTCGGCCTTATCGCCTTCGTCAGAGCCTGGAAAAAGTCAAAAATCAAAGTGAAACTACCCTCGGAAATCATTTCAAACCTCAGATAAGCTAGTCCCAGACCAGTAGGATCCAGAAAGTCATAGAACACAACCACAAACGACTCACCTTTAATGCACGACCGGTTCTTGTTTGAGACCACCGCTAAATAGACTCCCCGTCGGTGGCTTCAGCTGACCTGACCGCTCTACTTGATGCCGATGGCAACTGAAGCCCACACAGGTCAGCAAACGGGGCGAGCTCGTTTGTGATGGTCAGGCATTCGTCCTTTCTATTCATTCTGGGATTTTTAGCGCTAATCCAAAACGCTTCCAAAGTTTTGCGCGCCGAAGTCTGTGGTTCTCGCATCAAAATCCTAACCGTCACCTCAAACTCCGCGCCTCCATGGCGCTGAACCCGATGACTACCCAGGGGGACTCTTGTCTTGATCGCCTCAGGCTATCTAGGTGTTCCTTCACCCTGGAGCACAGGGGTCGTCCAGTCTCCCCGATGTACTCATCCCCACAACTCTTGCATGATATCAGGTAGATCACACCTGATTCCATGCAGTCCCCCTCCCGCCCAGAAGGACATGTCACACAATGTGGGGTCGGGCATCAACCTTGCCTGCTTGCAGGCTCACAGGAGGCATCTTCGAGCAACCGAACCATTTGAGCTCGGCCGCCGTTGCTGACGCTGTCGCTCTCAGTCCATCGGCAATCAAGTAGAAGCGGTCCAGTCAAGCTGAAGCCACCGACGGGAGTCTATTCAGCGGTGGCTCCACAAGAAACGGTCCGTGCCATAAATCGGTGAGTACACGTTGTGGTTGTGTTCCTATGACTTTCTGGCATTCGCTACTGTTCTGGCACTAGCGTTATCTTGAAGGTTTGAAATGATTTCCGAGCGCGTAGTTTCACTTATGATTTGACTGTTCCAGGCCTCTGACGAATGCCGATAGGCGCCGAAAACGTAGAACCAAGGAACTTTTATACCATCTTGGTTACGGCGCCTAAAGCATACCTTATCAACGATAACAATTCAAAGTCTACCAAGATTCATCGAGGTCGAACCTGGACACATCGGAACAGCTTCAACGCCTGAGTAATGTGGTCAGAAAGAAATGGGCGGAGTCTCCCTGCCTTGCTCGTCCCTTGGTCATGCCTTGCCGCAGCCTGCACGGCTGCGTTCATACTATGCGGCAGCGTCCTCTAGCGACCTCTAGTGCTTCCGTTTTTAGAGGAGTCCGTCAGCATCAGAAATTTACCAGCGCTCCGCCATCAGCAAGCCAGGAGTAGAGATATGCGCGAAGTTGCGAGCTGCGAGAAGGGGAGCTGATTGGCGTCGCGAGATTGTGGCGTATGCAACCGCACCGTACTAGTGAACAACAACATGCGCGTGATTGCTGGTGGACGCTGAAAGACGCTAGTTTGGTATCTGTTCTTCCTTAGTCGCTGACGGCGACGGCCCTTTGAAACGCTGATGGTCGCTTGTGGTAGCTGGTGACGCTAGATCGATATCCATACTTTTCTGGCCCATCCAGATGCTGATAGTCGCTGCCTGACGCTGGTGGACGCTGGCAGACGCTGCCTTCGCTATCGATACTTATACTTTCTTACGAAGCTGACTGAAGCTCGAAAAGCTATGGTCGCTGGTGGACGCTGCCGCGAAGTAGGAACGCGGCCCAAGGTAAAATCAGGAGATGCGATCTCGGCTCACTTCTCTTTTCGCCCATCCCATTGGAATCGCTTCGATGTTTCGAGCATGTCGCTGGAACTCAGATATTCGGGTATGTGGCAAGACAACTAACATGCCACGATAGTGGGCGTGGCGAGCGGCACCGCCCCAAGGGGCGAGTTGCCCTGCCTGGCCGTTTGAATTCGAGTTAACAGGACGAGAAAACTCGATGGCGCCCGTCATGGACTCTTGTCTCCGCTTGGATTCGTATGAGTTTCACTGCTCCAACCGACAGACTGATGCACACCGAGAATCCGCCGCGCATGGCCGCATGGTGCCCGTCGCGGCAACTTACGGTGGTCTTATCCGTCTCCACAGATGTTCTTACCGGTCTACGGACAACTTGAACTTAATCCCTTTGAACTTCGATCTTCTGTTTTTCTCTGCACTCTCTCTCGTCCGCATGGCACTCTATGGTTGTTGTGACTTCGCACATTCCAGCTTTTCACGGATTATAAGTGGTTCACCCACCCCGGAGTCCCCTCCCCTGAAAAGTCCGTTTCCTGGCTCGTTACATGCTTCTTGAACGTTTCGATGATTTGGCAGCCGCTGTCCTCTGTCTGTCTGGGGTGCAGGATTTCGCAACAGGACCACGCACAAAAGTCCAAAATTCTCACCCACAACTTTTAAAATGGAATTCAGTGTGCCCTAATACCTTTGCTTAGGTTTTCCATACGTAGGTTCCATTCATAGGTAGAAAGATAGGGATCAATTCATATAACTTACGATATGAATTGGTCTTCATCCACGGTCTTGACTATTTCCCCTTCGCTACGGCCTTCAAAGAGCCACTCGCTCTTGGCAAACTGTAAAAGAATAGTCAGGCGTATTTTGGTAACGAAAAAACATTGAAATACTCACGAGACTTCTCCGCCATTTGTAGAGATGTAGGGGAAGCCAACTCATACTGACTGAGTAGTGAATCGTTAGTAGACCGAATGAGAAGCCCCCTTTGATCGAAATGGAACCGCAGCCCTAATATCATGATAACAGCATATCATCTTCCACTGGTTACGTGAAATTACTGGTTACTGGTGATGGGGATGATTCAGTTAACATAGGTAATTGATTAATTCAAAAATAGGATAATGATAACAATAATAATGTAATGACATTAGTAATAATGAAGTTGGACGTATAGCAGTAAAGTAATGGTAGAATAAAAATCTGCATTAAAAAGTTATAGTCCTAGTCCCCCCTATGCGCCTGCAATGGGTGGAGTCGGGCCACCATTGTACCAACCTGATTGTCCATCTCTTCCTCTTCTAAAGGGTAAAAATGTGAGGCAAGCCAATGAGGAAGCCACTGTGGTAGGTCTAACTCCGCCTATGTGAGGAGCATGGAAGCTGCCCCCGCAAATTGTGGTGTTCGGCTTCGAGATCCTTTTGAGTGCCCATTACTCCGACTGTTGTAATCATAATTATTCTATTATTTCGACTAGAACACGAAAATATGTATTGCATTCTCACGATATGCTTTTCATGCTTCTGAAAGTCTACTCGAGCCGAACTCTTCACATGCACTCTGACAATGTTTCAAACTTCTTCGCGAGACCCGACTTGATCTATTTTTGCCGGGCCTGCGCGCTTCGCCCTTGCTCTGTAGCGAGCGAGCTGCCCCTCTTGAAATGCAGGCCAACTTGTTCCCTGCAGAGACGGAAGTCGAACAGATTTAAGCGAAAATTTAACCAAGAAGCGGAACGAAACCACCGTTTTGACCTTTTTTTTTTCTGATATCCTGATACTGATTAAGTGTACCGTTGTAGGCGAATTTTGGCAGGGTGCATCCTTCATGTCAACCTGGGCTAACACTCTTGGAAACTCATTGTTGGAACATACGTAACGTCTCTCAGGCACGGTATCCTTTTCTTGCCCAAGAAATTACCTATACGCTTAGCCCGATTTCTTTTTTTTTTGCTCATTGATCCTTCTTGATTGTCTTCTTTTTATTTTTTTCTTTTCTCTGCTCTTATCTTTTTTTTTATTTTTTTATTAATGTAATCCTACATGTATTCTTAATGTCTTCTTTTGCACCGTCTTTTCATTTTTATTCTATTTATAACTTTCATATTGATGTTTCTGCCGTCATTCTGTCTACTTGTCCACACTTTTATTTTTCACATTTATCTGATTCTTGTTTTTTTTTATTTGTTCAACTGACAAGCCTTCTCTCCTTCCCTTTTTTTTTTTTTAGTTCTTGTCATCTTCTGCTTCCCATAAGCAACGGACCCGTGCTACACATGCGCCGACAATACCATCGGCTCTCAGAGACAGGGCATGTCCTGCCGTTGGAGGGAAATTTCTGCAAAATACGAACCACTATAAATTCTCCCCTCTGGTACAACCTTTTTACCCTCCGCCCTAGCTACCATCTTCATATTTTCCCAACTTCCTATAATTTATGGAGTTTTTTTTTCTGATGTCCCTCCACTTTTACTCTGAAAAACTGCCATCGAAGAAAAAAAAGGGAGGGGGAAAACCGTCTCCGCTTTTCTTCGTGACTGATACAGCCGCTACATCTTTCCACTGATGTCTTTAGATGAAATTTACACTAGGGATGACCACGATACCCACCATGACCTAAAACTAGCAGTTAGTCAACAACGAGCGCCATCATCACTTCTTCTGTGCCCCAAGAGGCGAGCGCGACGGCTAAGTGGTACTGGGTGTAGTTTGCGGTCCCTGCCACATATATGCCGTCGAGTGCTTCGTATTCGAAATTCTTGTGGTCAACAGCTGGTTGGAGCTACTGACTGCCTTCTGCCAGACGTTAGAACTTATCCTGGCCCAGTAGGGCTCCTAGTCCTCCAATGGTGAAAACGACTTTGTTGCCAAAAAAGCGGAAGCAAACCTCGGATGTGAGCTTCGTTAATGATGTGAAAAGAGTGAAGCAGGTCCGTTCTGTTCTTACCTTGCCTTTTTTGTTGTTTCCTGTTTAATATGTCTTACTCATTGCTGTTCAATCATTCCATTAGAACGGCTCTTAGTGGAGGCATGCGGAAAAAAAGATCAAGAGAAACCCCTACTTTTCCCAGCTTTGCATACATTGCGGGTTCTGTTTAGTCTTGTTCCTTCAAAATGACAGCGATTTTCCGCAATGCTGACTCTGCTTCCGACAAGGTACCTTGGTTAGTTGTTATTCGGTTGGAGGGGGCATGTTGCACTTTCGCTTGTTCCTTTTGTCAACACGTTTCATTTCGGTGAAGCGTGTAAACTCCTGAGAAGTTGCGGAATGGTGTGGAGCCACTTTGGTCGCAGGGGTTTACAGGTTTTCAAAAGGTACCCTTTACAAGCTTCATCGAGATCATTCGGTGGCCCCATCAAACGGAACTGCGTCCAGTCATCTTCCAAGGGGTGGTCTCATGTGCCACCCCCCCCCCTCTCCTCAGCTCCTTTGGCCCTTATTTTCTCATGTATGGCTCTCCAGCCAGCGTGCGTGGCCTTTGTATGCATAACTTGAAGTTATGAATATAGGCGCTGCTTCAGTTGGGTGGGCCATTTTGGTGCTATAGCGACTGCGGGGCTGGTTGGGTTTTGCCTGAGCCCCGGGATTAGGAGGTCTGGAGGGGACAAGCCAATTCCTCTGTCAATTGTGGGTTTGAACATCACGGCAATCCCGATGTTTCACAAAAATTCCTTCAAATCAAAGCACATCCCACCGTTGAAGAGCAAATCCCAAAATACAACTCCCCGTCCCCTAATTTCTTTTTATCTAGCGCCAGTGAAACGAGATCGCAAACACGATCCCTTCTTCCCTCTGCCAAGACCTTGTACGATTTCCCTCGTGCCCTGCTTCAAATGTCCAGTGCGGTTCTGGTTTGTTCTTTTCCACTCTCGAGTGTCCACTCATGTATGGCTGTCATTCGAAAAGTTCCTACACAAGCATGGTTGACGAGGGAAAACCACCAATGCTCAACCCTGGAAGACCGCAGCACTGCGTGCCCTCCTCATCCCGCTAGCGGCTGTATTCTCTAGATGTTACGATATTCGATTTCCCAAGTGAAGTGCTCGAATTTTATGGTGCGCACGGATTACACGGGTCTAATTGCCGCTCTTCAGGAGTTGGAAAGCTCATCCTTGCCTCGACGACCGACGGCAATCGCGCTATCAAAGCGACGTGCGGTAGATGTGCTCAGCGATGTACTTTCTCGACTTCAAGGTGGAGATCGGCAAATGTGAGTGGTAGTTCAGCGTTAACGTAGGTTTAGTGGGAGGTGGGGACCACTCGGCCACGCATCTGTATCCCTTCCCCAAAAAGGCTCAGGCTCAGAGCGCAAATGATGAAAATCTCAAGGAGGCGTAGTCCTGCAGAGAACACATGGTCTCCATCAAACCTAAGCCTTGATTTGAGGAAAGGATACGCCGTGAGTGCCCCCCTAACCACCTTAGGCAGCGTTCAGACTTTGCGACTGCAGCGCTCGGGTCGCGCGATTCGACGATCGATGCGCACGCTTTCGACTTCATCGATCACGTCGAACGCGCGACTGAAGCGCTGCCGTCGCGAAGTCTGAACGCTGATTTAGCGCTGGCGTAGTTTTTTAAATACCTCCTGGTCGGTACTGCTTACAAGTACATTTTGTAGTGCTTCGATTTTGTTGCGTGAATTTTCAATCGAACATCTCCCTACTTTATCCGATGACATAGCAGAAGTCGTTAACCTTATCATCACTTCTGCGTCGGTTACCTCTTATGATCAGATCGCCAGGCAACTTCTACGGTAAGCTTTTGGTTATTTGTTTACTCGAATTCTACTTATTTTCGTGGTGCAGTTCAGCTTGGGGTGCGGGCATTTTGCCTTTCGCTGCTTCCCATCGACGTGGTCATGGCTTCGCAGATTTCACAAATCTCTAGTTGCTGGCTCGATACGTCGATGAAAAATAGCGCGAGTGCAATATGCCCCTTCCAAGCCACACTGCGCCATTTTTATTTTTGGTTATCAATGTTCTGGTATGCCCATTTATTTATTTCAAGGATGTTACTATGTATCATGCGGCGAACGGATGGTACCCTATGGAACATTGTACTTCAACGGTTGCTTTCAGATGCCGGCAAAGAGGCCAAGTAAGGGAACTACTCTGTTCGACCATTCCTCGTAAAAACTTTTGCTTTGAGAGAAGGGGATCCTCCTGCAGTCTGTTGTGGAAAAGACTTAAAAAAAACGAAAGTTCCTATTGATCGTTGTCTTTTTCGTTGCGAATTATGGGGCAGTGGTCAGTACCAGCAAGGCGCATCGACCGCACATCCCAACTCAGTGCGTCGCTCCTGTTGTTTGACGTAGGCGTGCGAAAAGGACTGAATTGGCAGTATGCTTTCATCTTTCTCAGTGTTGCTCGAGCGTTAAACAGCTGGTGAAACGTAACGGAGGCTTGGACGACGACGCCAAACCACATCCTCGTGGCGCTAGTCCGATCATCTGTTACAGCGCAACAATACTGTTGTCCTCGTGATAGCTTAACTCCCTGTTCATCAATAGCACAAGTTTTCCATGAAAACTTTTCAGCCTTTTCACCAGAACATATTTGGACGATGGTTTGTTGCTGTTACTGACAGAGGGTCTCAATACAGGAGCAATATCGGCAGACTGCATTCCCGTGAGGTACTTCCTTTCCTTGTTATTTGAGTGTAATAAGCTTTTCATTCATTTGCATTCCCTTCCTATGCGGTCATGATTGGGTATTCCTGTTCATCTTCCGGAGATTCTTTTAAGTATTTTGAGTAATTTTTCAAGGAACTTCTATTTGACAGGGTTTTGCGCTGCGCGGATCGATGCTTGCAATCATCCAATCATGGATACAGATGTGCAGCCATAGGATTCCATGTTGCACGGGTTATGAGCCGTAAGTTCACTAGAATTTACAGTATTTTTACTCCGTTTGGCGACATCTCGATTTTTAACGAGTAAATGGGCTCTTTCTTCGTCATTATGTCTCCCAATCCTCCCCTCCCCCCTTCCCCCTGTGAAAGAGTCCTCTCCTAGTTAGCCGACTTTTATGCCTTTGTTTATCTTCCTCTTTTCTTCCGTTTTTCCCGTTCCGGCTTCATTCATCTCTTTCTTCTTCAAGCATTCCATAGACTTATCCTTAACCATGCCACGGGGCAGTTCGGCAACGTGGGGGGCGGGGGCATTTTGCACTTTTGCACTTCAGTCGACGTGTCGACCCATCTAGACAGCCTCTTCTCGAGTTGACAGGTTTTACCATGATGGCTTGACGAGCTTGCTCCAGCTTCACAAGAGTTCACAGGTTTCACCAGAGACTTGTAAACGGAACTAGTGAAGCAACGAAAGTGCAAAATGCCCCCCCCCTCGTCGCCGAACTGCGCCCCATACCACTTCTCCTTCACTCCTACACAGAACTCTATACTGAAATGTACAAATACACCTCATTTTAGGAAGACCGGACTCAACATCACTGCTAGTGTTGGAGCGTTTATTGTGTCAGATGACT